TACATGAATATTCAGTAAATGCTACTGTCATTTGATAGCAGAATTGGGGGAACTTTCGATATGCCCCGATTCTTCATTCAACGTTTGAATGACATGATCTAGGTGTCTATAGAATGCTCTTAACATAAACTAGCTAGTGGTATGGGTTTCACTTCCAATACAAGTCACACTAGAAAGTTGGACACCTAAATGCATTTTAATCACTTTTCACAATTTTCACACAAAATGGGTGTCCAAAACCCTCAACATGTGCTAAAAGCCTTTCCTGACACCTGGACCATGTCTATTGGATCTAGGACTACTAGTAAAACATATCACACACACCAAAACACAAGCATAGCATAATTTTACTCCTTAACCCCATTTTATTGAAAACAGAAGGGGAGGTCAATTGTCATTACTTTATATCCAATTCAATCCAAACATGTTCAAACTATCATTTTTACACTTGCACTAGTATTTTGGCCCTATAAACATATAAAACTCAACATACACAAATACTCAGGGCTTAAAATACAAATCAATCATTTGCAACAACAAAATAGTGCAAGTATAATGGCATGCAACCTAAAATTGGCAATCATATACTATTACACAAATAAATCTAAACTAGAGGCATACAGTAGGAATATGCTAATTCCTAGCTTCTTGAGTCTTCTCCCTCTCAACACCAGAGCTAGAGCTTGAAAAGTATTAAATGAAAGGGATAAGTCTAGCCACTTAGTAACTAAGGTAAAACCTACCTTATGCAGTTATATATCAATTAAAAAAATGAACACATGCATATGAAACCAAAAACTTAAAACATGTTCACACACATATCACAACTCTTGCATTCTCAATAATGACATCTTTGTCTCACATATGCTAGGTACATTGTCACCATATTCTCTGATATGTGACCATGACCCCTTATTCATGCGACTTGCCACAACTCAACATGTGTGACACGTCATATATTTGTATAGGCAATGATCAACCAACCTTATACCTTCCTTATTTTCTCAGACCAAAACCGTGGGCTATAACACTAAATAGGGCTCTATCCATGTGACTAGACTACCCAAGCTCACTAATCTTGAGGTGTGAACCGGCTAAAGATCACATAACTCACTCTCAAACCATAACTTTTCCTATTCTCAAATCTCTAAGGTGTCTCATACCCTAAACTATTCTTCTTGTTCAACTAGTGGAGATAGCTAGGTTCTAGTCTCTCAACAAACTATGAGATAGTCCCTCGACAAACTGTGGGATAAGATCATACCCCCATGTATCAGAGGGTAGCCTAAATACTATATGGATTTTTCTCTACTCCTAATCCCTAGGCGAACTCCTGCCACTGATCATGTCATAATCAATACTCACTCGTTTTCACATTTTCATTTTCATTTGCTTTTACTCATTATCCCAACAATCACGTTGGACTCACGACCGTGTGCTATCTAAGTATGTATTCTCATCATTTTCTTAACATTATTCTCACTTATCTCAAAATCTACTTCTCATTAATGCATAATTACCTCTACACAACATCACATTCATTTTCCAAAAGCATCAACATATTCATAGTTCGAATACTTTCTTGACTTCACATTTTACAGTTTAAGCCAAAAATAGCATTATGCACATTCAAATTTTCATACACTCATTGAAAGTAATACATGGTTTGACATTGAAATTAATCCCATGTATGTAATATTTATAATTCACATTTAACAATCAATTAACATATAACTACCCAAAGTAGGGTTTCCTCAGTTACCTCAAACCTTTGAAAGGTCAAAGATTTACCCTTTAATGTTTTAGCTTTTAAACTTGAATTTTCAAGTCAAGATAGATGTCCAAGAGCCAAAACTACAATCAATCAAATTGAAATTTCATCAACATTACCAACTCAAGCATTAAACCCTCAATCTCGACTTTTAAATTGCCTATTATTCACTCTACATGAGTTTGAGTCTATCCATTAAATTTATTATCTATCTTTAGTCCCCAGTAGCATTAATGAGCCATTAAACTCCCATTAATGGCATCATATTCTTCCAACCACCCATATTAAATACAAATTTTGGATATTAATTGTGCCCAACAACTTAATACACCAAAATTCATTATACCTAGGTTTAGATATTCTAATCTACTCCTATGAACTCCATTAAAGTCAATAAATTCAAACCCAAAAATTATATGGACGGAAAATCATCTTCCATAATCAAACCTTAACTACAAACTCATAAATGTGGAAGAAATGGAAAGATTAATGAGTGTGGTACTTACCTTGGGTGTCTGTAGCCTCTAAAATATTTCCAATGCTGTCTACTAGCAAACCCTAGCAGAGCTTAGCAAACTTCTTCTAGTTTCTCTTTTTTTACTCTCTATTTCTCTCTTATTTTAATGATTGATATTTGTAGACAAAGACCATGCGCCACGGCACATGGCACAGAGAGGTCCTCCTTCACATCTAAAGTGTCTGTGCACCGTGGCAAATGATCTCTATGTTGTAGCGTGTGGCACAGCAACATCGCTCTTTATTTTTCTTTTCCTTTTGATGCTCGAGTGGCCCAACTTAATACCAAACCCACAATTTAGGCTAAAATGCAATTAAATATGCTTATTAGACCTCTTTGACTACACACCACCTCAACTTACTTAATTTAATTAGGTTTAATTAATCAGGAGATTAAAATTGGGATGTTATGAAGTGCATTTACAGTGAAACTAGAATTGAGTTCAAGCCCTTGACTCCGTTCCCAAATTTTATATCTATACGACTACTTTTAGGTATATTGATCACTCTAGCAAGTGTATGAGATCACAGTAATAAATTACCTAGAGTATTTCAGGTGTCAACTCCAAAAGGAAGTTATACTTTTACTAATTTAAATAATTAATGGTTCAAGAAAAATAGATAAAATGGATAATTTTGATAAAAATCTAAAAAATAACAATAAATTAAGAAAACAATGATGATGAAAATACAACCACTTAAAGCATTAGGGTTTATGATTCACCCTATAGGTTGCTAGTTTCTACCCTTTGAGTTTACTCTAATCAATTGTAGTAACAATTATTCTTAAAGTGTCTTAATATTATTCTAAATTATTAGTCCCTTTTTAATTAGTATTGAATTCGTTTCCACAATACTGAAGCAACTAATCAAACCATAAAGCTATAGTTTAAGTCACCACAAATTTCTAGAACTATCCCTAGCCTAGTTATTTATGTCTATTTCTCTAGATCTAGGTTCCTTCTTCACCTCCCAATCCATCAAGATTACCTATAGATTTGATTAAATAGTGGGCAGTCATTAAATCAATATGAAGAATAAGAGAAATAAATATAATTAGAAAAAAATATTCATAAATATAAATTCAAAGAGTCAAAACAAAGAAAATAGAAAACTAGCTTCCCAATTAGGATATATCCCTACCCTAACTGGGTAATTTAAAAACACATAATAAAATCAAATAACATTATTCTAAAATCCCTAATCATGAAAAATGATCACATAGAAAATTAAGGAGTAGAAAAAAATAATTATGAATTGTAGAACTCTTCAACGATCTCGCTTTTAGCCTTCAGAATGCTTCTACGAGCTTCAAATATTTCGGAGAAAATTTTTGAGGTACTCAGATAAGTAATTGAATGTCTTTTCTCTTCATGAAAGAGAATATTTATAGTTAAAATAAAGGCTTATCCTCTTTTTTCCTAATTGATGTGGGACTCTAATATATATATATATATATATATCTATATATCTATATATTTCTTTGACCTTTTTCCCATAAAATCCTCTTTCGAAATGTGTGATTGCCTCTCTCTCCAAACAAATACATGTGACATTGTGCTTCCTTGAATTAGACATGAGATTTTGTAGCATTATTCCTTCTCTCTCTCCATGTTTGTGTATATATTATTTTCTTTCATTTTCTTACTTTATTTAATCTATTATTTTCTTGCAAAATATAAAAAAAAATATGAGTAGATTTTGTATCAAAATTTCTTTTCATCTTATAATTAAGTGATGAGAGAAAAATATATAAATATTAATTAAACAGATATGAAATTTTAATAAATATAATCAAATCCAAATCAAAATCTATACCTATTTAATTATAAAATATGCACTTATCATATATGTCTTCCTCCTCCAAATATTTACAGAAAAAATGAGAAAAATTAATACTTAATATGTTATAGCTAAACAACTTTGAATTAAAGATAGTATTGTCAATATTTTTAATATTTTATTTTTGCACATATATATATATATATATATATATGTACGTGAATATTATTTTTTTATTTAATTGTTATACCATTAATTTGACCACCATATGATATTTAATTGTTATACCATTAGTTTGACCACCATGACCAGTTAAATCATGAAAACCATAACTTGCTAACTTTTATAATTTATCATCCATTCCCCATTTTTTAAAAACGTTGATATAAACAAAAAAAAAATTCATTCTTTAAAACTGTGTGTGTGAAATTCAAATCATCCTGGTAAAATATAAGAAGTTGTTCAAATGGTTATAGCATTTGTAACTCTTATATTACATGACTTTGTGGTGGGTTGAAAAATCCTCCTTGCAATGTAAGAACCTCGTTTCCATTGAACTATGTAACATGCATTAATCCTTGTGAACTCACTCCCAAAAATTTTGCAGCAACAAATACACACACATGTGTGTGTCTGTGTATATATTATTTAAATCTTCTGTTATGTTTTGCAAGCCTAACCCACTGATGACAGGCCACCTTACTGTGTTAATGTTAAGTTCACTCTACAGCTGCGTGCCGCGTATTTTGGTGCGAGACCATAACTTCAAAATATGGCAATTCAAAGTCAGACATAAATATTTATAACTCACACTTACTCTCTGAATCGAATCAAAAATATCCAGCTAGCTCAATATCTAACAACCATTAGGTAAGCCTAAGCTATCTCTCAACGTATTAATTCCCTTCAATCTCAAGCCTAAGCCATATTAATAATATTTCTGATCTTCAGAAACAGCTCATGATACTCAAAACTCATCACTGCAATGAGGCTTCTTGTAATTCTCCCAGTTCTGTCTCTTCTTGTTCTCTTCTTCTCTTACCATGCAGGTATATATATACACATTTATATGAGAGTTCTCTCTTATGTTAACTTTGCTGATGCTTTTTCGCGTGCGCTTTTAATTTATATATGTGTGATTAATTTGTTAAGGTTTTGTGGTCAATTTAGGGGCTTATGATCCTTTGGATCCAAATGGAAATATAACGATCAAATGGGATGTCATGTCTTGGACCCCTGATGGGTATGTGGTAAGTACTTCAAAATAACATTTAGAAAGACGGAGATTTATGCAAATAGATCCAAATTCGAATGTGTGTGTGTGTGTGTGTGTGTTTTAATTTGCGTGAAATTTACTCAAGAGTCAGCTAGCATTTTCCTCTTTTCTGGGGATTCTTGCAGAAATTGCCAGGTTCAGAGTTGAGAATAACAGGAATTTTGCCTGTATGTAATATGTATGATGGAGATTTTTTATATGTCTATTTAGTAAAAGGAGATGAAATTAACCATAAGAGAGTAAAAAAGTTATTTAATATTTGGATAATTATTCAAATCCATTAGCTTCAAGTTCAAGTTATATGACTGTCTACATTTGATTGTATATATATATATATATATATTTACGTAGTATATCATTTAAAAATACCAAAAGTATAAAATACAAATCAAATAGAACAACTGAAAGGTTCTCCAAATTTCTTCTTTATTTACCCTTTTCCGTTATCTTCATTTCTTCAGAGATCCTTTTATCATCATCTAGTCACTTAAAATGATCCAGGAAATTCACTCCCATCTAATTAATGAATGAGACCCTATAATTAATTTTCTAATTTGCAAAAAATGAGCATAAACATCTCAGTCATACTTTTAAAAACATCATATGCAAGAGAGGTTTTTCTTTAGGTGCAGAACAAAACAAATGAGGAGAGTAAGAGAGCTTACTGGTGAGTCTCACATGTTAGTTGGGACTTGCCATAACTAACTCTCTCTCTCTCTCTCTCTCTCTCTCTCTCTCTCTCTCTCTATCTATCTATCTATCTATCTATCTATCTATCTATCTATCTTTCCACTTGAATCCAAGGTTTAATTAAGTTTATAAGTCATTTTATTTTATTATATACTTCCCCTAGTCTAAAGTATAAATATTCTCTTTCAACTAATCTTAATCCAAAATATAAGCAATTTAGTAGTTTTATAAATTATCCTCCCCATTTTAGCCATTACACTTATTAACTTATATTCTTGTATAAATTTATGACCTTCTTCTTACTCATCATTTTTTAATATATCTTCTCACTCGTCATTGGTAATTATATTAGAATCAAAGGTAAAAAGGGAAAATAATAAATATTTTCATGAGAATAAGAGTTTTTTTAACATATGGACTATTGTTGTTAGACTAGAGGGAGTATTATTTATTAAGCCTTAATTTTACCTGGTGCAATACTTCTTACATCAACTTAGTCCACCTATGGTTGAAGATCCTATCAAAGTTTATATACTGACATGAACTTGCAAATGAAGGATCCTTAGATCCGTCCCAGAAGTGAAGGCCACACCACATCTTAATATAAAACATCAAAACTATTCGAATTTAAGGATCCGCTCATATTTTGGCATCCTAACAAATTTATATACTGACACGTGAACTTGGGAATGATGAAACAGGCAACGGTGACAATGCACAACTTCCAAATGTACCGTCACATAATGAACCCAGGCTGGACGTTAGCGTGGTCATGGGCGAAGAAGGAAGTGATTTGGTCCATGGTGGGGGCTCAGACGACAGAGCAAGGAGACTGTTCCAAGTTCAAAGGAAACGTCCCTCATTGCTGCAAGAAGACCCCCACAGTGGTGGACCTGCTTCCTGGGGTACCCTACAACCAGCAATTCACTAACTGCTGTAAAGGTGGGGTCGTCCCAGCGTGGGGCCAGGACCCTGCTGGGGCCCTCTCTTCTTTCCAGATCAGCGTTGGACAGGCTGGCACCTCTAATAAGACTGTCAAGCTTCCTAAGAACTTCACTCTCCTTGCTCCTGGTCCTGGTTACACTTGTGGCCCTGCTAAGGTTGTTCCTTCCACTGTGTTTCTTACTCCTGACAAGCGTCGCAAGACCCAAGCACTCAGTAAGTTTGCTTCTCAGTTTTTAACATGGTACTGAAAATCACTTTATTGGTTCAAAGGTTCAAAATCAAAATCATAGTCAAACTGTGATTAGACTGGTAGTTTGATCCGGATTTCAATATTATGGTTTATACACTATCTTCTATTATCAAGTAGATCTAGAGTCTATGTCCTGCATGGAGCTTGAGGTTGGAAATTTCATTGTTTATGACTCTGTGAATAGCACATCAGATGTTTCATGGAAAAAAATGATAGTTCAAAGATTCGCAGCTCAAAGTATTAAGTATCACGCGTGATCAAAATTCATCTTTACAGATTGTTGAAATAAGTTACAGATGGTGTTTTTTGAAGTTACAACATATTCCCTGAAGTTATAATGTAGTCTGGTTTTTCTTTAGAGTGATCAGAATTTTCCGAAGGGTTGTATAACAGTACAGGCGTGTCATGTTCTCACGTTCTAAGCCGTATGTGAAAGACAAATAATTAAGGATCATATAAAAATCAGAACCCCTCTCAAAGATCATAGAAATAAATTACTACTGATATTTTGTAAGAATTTCAATTCATCTATAATCTGTTCAGGCCAAAAAATATCATCTATAAACTCTGTAAAATTATAAGTTATAACCAGGTCTATTTAATGTCAAAACATAGTCATGTGGCTAATATAATTGATTTTCGTAACTGTAGAAACATTGCTATCACTGTAGGAAATAACAATGTCCAATACATTTATACATACATACATATTATATTATCCCTCTCATGTTTTTATTGCAGTGACATGGAATGTAACCTGCACTTACTCACAATTCCTGGCGAGAAAGAACCCCAGTTGTTGTGTGTCTTTGTCATCATTTTACAACGAAACGATCACGCCATGTACAGCCTGTGCTTGTGGCTGTCAGAACAAGAAGAACTGTGTCAAGTATAAATTATCAAATCTCACAAACAGTTATCACACACACACACACACACACACACACACAATTTCCCACTAATAATTATCTAATTATTCACTTGGGTTTTTTTCTTTTGTGTTTCATTTGTTGCAACATAGGAGTGACTCCAAGTTTCGAAACGATAAAGGGGTTCACACTCAAAAGAAAGACAATGACCAGTTGTTACAGTGCACTCATCACATGTGCCCTATCAGAGTACATTGGCACGTGAAGCTAAACTATAAAGACTATTGGCGAGTCAAGATCGCCATAACAAATTTCAATTACAAGATGAATTATTCACTTTGGACTCTCGCTGTGCAGCATCCAAATCTCAACAATGTCACACAGGTCTTCAGCTTCGATTACAAGCCCCTCGTTCCCTACAAGTCTGTCAGTAAGTATCAAATAAGCCTATCGTTCTGCAATTCTTTCTTTCAAACAAAGCATTGATAATCGGATCAATCATTAAACTAGTCAAAAACACTAGTTCAAGGGTTAATGGTCAAAATTATAATCCAATCATGATCAAATTAGTTGTAAATAAAGTATTTTATTAAGCGAGTTAAGACACTGATTTAATAATTTACTGATTCAACTGAGTTGGTTAACTCGAATTTTCATATTATACTTCTAAAAGTAAGTTCATGTTTGGATACCCAATTTAATTAATTTTAAATATCAAAACCATAGTTTTGTGAAAAATATATATCCAAAATATTGCTGTTATATGATAAAATTAATTATGAACTCAAAACTATGGTTTGTTTAAAACATATCCAAACATGCACCTTTCATACATGTTAAAATCAATTATAAATTTAGAACCATGATTTTTTTTAAGATACTCAAATACTTTTATACATGTCAAAATCAATTATAAACACAACCATGATTTATAAAATAGAGTTTATATGGTTTTTGGATAAATTTTTAAGAAAGTATGATTGAAAAATTGAATGAGCTTGTGAGATAACAATGGTTTTGGATTAATAATTGATTTTGACATGTATAAAAATGTTTGGATATTTTTAAAAATCCTCTAGTTTTGAGTTTATAATTAATTTTAATATGTAATTGGGTGTTTGGATATATTTTTACAAAACCATGATTTTACTTTATGTTCAGTTCTTCTTTTTCAACTTTACTTTTCAATTTTGCTTAAAATTGATTTATAAATCAATTATACCACATAACATAATCAATCATATTCAAAACAAATTATATTAATCAATTTTTTTCATAATCATTTTTTTCCAACGAAAATATCACAAAGAAATGGATTATATATACTGGTTTTGTTTTGCAGATGATACAGCTATGTTCTATGGCATGAAGTATTATAATGATCTGTTAATGGAAGCTGGGCCATCCGGGAATGTTCAATCTGAAGTGCTCATGAGGAAAAACAAGAAAACTTTCACCCTCAAGCAGGGTTGGGCATTCCCTCACAAGGTTTACTTCAATGGTGATGAGTGCATGTTGCCACCACCTGATACTTACCCGTTTCTTCCTAATTCTGCTAATTCTCTCAAAAACCTCCTCACCTTCTCACTGTTCATCTTGTCATTCTTGTTCTTCTTATTTGTCTGATGAATTTTTGTACATGTTTGGCGAAAATTTCAAGTCAAGAATGAATTTCTTGACTTTGATATACTAAAAAGTGCACTTTACTTGGTTTGGATGGAGAGAAAGGTAAAAAGTGAGAAGAAAATAGATGTGAGAGAAAACTAAGAGGAGAAATTTCTAAAAATAGTAATTTTTTTTATTACTTTTACGAATTTATATACGTCCTTATGTGTAAAAGAGTGCTTATATATATATATAGAAGAAGATGATGATAATGCAATAACAGGTGGAAAAAATTTTGAGTTCCTTGAGAAGGATTGAACCAGAATCATGCTTATGTATGCATTTGGTGATGTATAAAAAGCTTAAAAAAAATGCTGTGCGTATATATATAGCTCACTATGTAAAGGATTGTCGGTCTCATGACTTGCTGTTTTTGCAATGAGATGATAAATTCAATCTCTTTTTTCTTGATATGTTCCTTTTTAAATGACATTGATGTTGGAGATTGTCTTTAAGTCAATCAAGTAAATGAAGCCATTATATTTGATTTGATTTAATAAAAGAAAATTTATCAAATTTTTATTATATTGTTTTGCACGTGTTCTTTATAATAAGGATCCATGAATGATTAAATAATCATTCCAAATGTCTCTAGTCAATTATTATGATGGGAATAATAATGAAATAAGACTAGTATATGATTTGATTGATGATTATATGATGATCATGTATGTAAATACAAATCACAATCATAGGCACTTGTTACAATCCAAGGTTCTAGACTGACCCATTATGAGATAACTGCATGGACTGGGTCATAAGCATATCTTATTATAGCTATATCGTTGAGCTCTTAGACTTAAGATTACCATAGATTCCTACATGAGGAGCATCATAAAGATCATAATTGAATATAGTGGGATCCATGCGAAAGAAAATAAGTTATCAAAATGAAATTTGTCCCTTTCATTATGAGAGAGATATTTTTGGGCCTCTCGATGAGTAAGACTAAGAAATGCATGGCCATGCTCAAATGAAATGAATTTCATTTGTCTTGCCAATTTATTCGGAGATAAAAAAAGCATGGTTAAGCAATATGAGGGTGACATCTCCATGTCTCGTCATGCTTTATACGACCAAAGCAAATTGACGAAGTTGTAAGATTCGTTATATCGAATCTTCAATATTCAAATAATTTGGGTAGTCATAATATCTTAATTACTTACTAGCAATTGTTTATGATGAAAAAGAAATGGCAAGTGAACATAAGGGAAAGAGTGGTGTAATAAAATAATATAAGTTGGAAGAACTAAGGATGAATGCAGCAAACAAACAAAAAAATCAGATTGCAAAATTTAAGAAACTGATACCAAACTTTGTAATGCCCATTTGACATTATGGTTTAACACTCTATTTCCTTGTTATATTATTACACCTAAAACTAATCAATATAGAAAGATCACGGTCCATACAAAAACTTTTGGAAAACCATTTAACATTGTTTAAAATTCCATTCTAGCCCAATAGAAGCATGGGAACTACTTAATATAGAAGGACTGGGATCCCTACAAAAACTTTTGGAAAACCATTTAACATTGTTTAAAATTCCCATTCCAGCCTAGTGGAAGTATAGGAACTGCATATATAGCAAACAAAAAGATGATCGAAGTAAAATGGCAATTTTAGGTTAAACTGGGCCATATATCGTGGCATGTGGCACATGCACTGCGGCATGTGGTATAGAGCCAACACCTCTCATTCTGTGACATGCATTGCAACATGTGCATTAGTACTACGGTGCACATATCAAATAGAATATCTGATACGAACTTCTAGCATGTGTTGTTTTCACATACAGTGTCTAATTAGTGTGATTTAAATACCCACACGAAACTTATTTCAAAATCTAACTAATAACACTAGTTTCATTTTAATCCAATATTTCATTTAAAAATTGAACACTCATGCAAAATGATCATTTTAAGTCATTTTTACTCACTTGAGCACCCTAACTATGAACCATGTAATATTCACCTTGACATTACCAGAACAACACTTTAACACACCATTGTGATAATCAAGATTAATTAAAATTCTTAAATAAAGTCATCACAACCCAAGGGTTTTGAAATAAATAGTTTAAAATATTAGAATCCTAAGAAAATCCTTTTTAAAAAGCCATTTGAGCTCGATGTTAGAAATTGTATCTTAGGGTCAATTATTATACGATGCATATTGTTATTTAATGAATTTCTCTTTTGTTATCATATTAATTGCATGTTCACTATGATAACTATATCCTTGGACAAACTATAGTAATTGTCTTAAATGTCCCTGATCAGTCATGTATGAGGGATCATAGATGAAACAAGGCTAATATGACTCTAATTAATTATAGAGATATAAATCAAAGTCATAGACACTTGAAAGAGTACAAGGTGCTGGACCGACTCGCTATGAGAAAGCTGTATGATACAAATCATAAGCTTATCTCATATGTAACCACATCACTAAGCTCTTTGACCCGAGATCATCACTGATTCCTACATGATGACTACTAAACTTTAACCTATTCAAAAATCACCTTCGACCGGGTGATCATAAAGGTTATAATTGAGTTTAGTGATATTCATGCAGAGGAATATGAGTGGTTAAGATAAAATTTATCCCTTACATTAACCGAGAGATATTACTAGGCTGCTCGATGAGTAAGACTGAGAAAATTTATGGTTATACTACAATGAAAAGTATTTTTTCATTACTACAGTCAGTCTACTTAGGGATCGAAAAAGCAATGGTCAGGTAAAGAAGAATGACAATTCCATGTCTCATACTTGACTTAAATATCGTGTGACAAAAAGGATGTAATAAGGTTACATAATAGGTTATATTGGATCATCGATCCTCATATGAATTGGATAATTGCAATGTCTTGCTAGAAGCTATGACAAGCCCTAAATCATATCAAACTTTTTAAAGAAACTAGAATGTAGTTAAATACACCCTAGGTTGTTAAATTCTAAGAGAGCAAGCTTAAGAAATCAAAGAAAATTTATAAAACATTTTCACAAGTTAAAAATAATGTTGGTTTTGAAAAGAAAATTCAAGGTGTAAAGTGTTTTTGATTTCTGAATCTTTTTATAAGAAAGATGTGGAATGAAGCAAAATTGTTTTAACCAAGCAAACAAGTGAGCTTCAAGGTTTGAATCCGCCTTCAATATCATATAATCCTAAGTTTAATTCATTTGGTTTTTGCAACTCATTTGACATTAAGTAAAATGCCTAATTATCATTAGGATTAGGTAATTATGACTTAGACTAAGACACAATTTCTATGAAAATTATGCCAAACAATGACTTGACTCAAGAATTATACATTGCCTTGCCTTGACCATGTTCTAACACTTAGAACCAATCAAGAATTAGGCAATTAACTTCAATTTAAGACCTAAATAGAAGCTAAATGGTTCAATTATCACCACAAGGATCGGATAGATTAGCATTTACACAACAATGACTATTGAAGCATAAATTCAAACATATAGTGTACATCATCCAATTAAAGAGTCGAATCATAGCATTTAATTCTCTTAAAAGAATGAAATCAACTAAAGAACTCAACATAACTAGAATTGAATCAACTAGTTGAAAACAACAAAGAAATCAGAGAATCTAGATGTGAATTACAACAGAACTGTAATGCATTAAACTAAGAATACTTAAGTTTAAGTATCATCTCCTTTGAAGAACTTTAAGAAGAATCAGCTACTCATTTCGGTCTTCTCAATAACTGATTGAAGGTAGACGCCTATGAGAGCTTCCATGGCTGAATTCTTGAAGGAGCTGTGGGTGAAAGAGCGTGCAGCTGAATTGAATACCGAGAGGAAGATGAGTGTTCTTGTGTGTGTGAGGTGGTGAGACCAGAGGAGAGCCAGCGATCGTGCGAATTGGAGGAAGATGTGCGATGATTCTGCGACTCAGAGCTCATGAGCGTCAACTTGCGATGGTCTGAAACCTCAGAGGAAAGTGAGCGATGAACCTGTGCGATGACTGGGAAGCTGAAGGAGATGAATCTGTGAATGGCCAAACTGAGAAGATGATCATGTGTGTGTTGGCAGCGAGCTCTGATCCCAGGGGAGAATGAGGAGATTAGTGATCTGTGTGTGGTTGACAATTCAGACTGAGAGAGATGAGCGATAGGCGTGCGTCTCGCGTGACTCCAGGAAGACAATGATGATGCATTCTATTTTTTCCGAAAACCCCCAACGGTCCTCGCGTCCGCATGCCTCTGTTTCTACGTTTTTCCTCCTTGTTGAAAAGTCAGAAAAAACTAATTTAAAATAAAAAAAATACCAAATTAGCCTCTAAATGTTAAAAAAAGCAAAATAAACAAAACTAAATCAACATAATGAAATTGAATCAAATAAAATTTTAAAAATGAGAACAAAAATTATTCAAATAATAAAATTTGTCAAGGAACTAAAATTTCAGATTTAAAACAATTAATTCTAATAAAATATGCAAAATGACCAAAATGTCCCTAATGTCAAAATTGAAAAGTGAGCCAATGATCAAATTTAATGCCAAAACCATGCATATAAGGGCCTAAACTAATAAAATATGGTCACAAATATAAAAAAAGTGTGCAAAATATATGATTAATCAAATTCCTTCACACTTAACTTTTGCAAGCAAAATTTAAACTCAAAAACAATTTGTCAAGGATCCTTAAGTTACAAATCAAAGATCTTTTTACAATAACTTAATAAATGTAATATAGGATGAATGAATTATATATATATATTTGGATATTTATTTGATAAATATATATATATATGAAATATAAAATTTAAAATATAATTATATATAATATATATAATTTATATATTCATATATGTGTGTGTGTGTGTATAATATAATATGTATATGTGATATATATTATATTATATTAGTTTTAAATTTAATTTTATATGATAGATTAAATTTAATAACTAACATGATATGAAAGAATACCATATTAGTTTTATAGTTTGAATTTATAAGATAAATTCAAATTAGATATGATATTATAAATTTTATTTATAAGATAAATTTAACCTAAATTTCGATTGGCTCTTCACGAGGAAGGAAAAAACCCTAATCTATATATAATAGATCTAAGAGGACGTGCAAAAAAAGAGAGCTAGAAAAGTTCTAATGGCCAAATACTTTGAGAGCAACGAAATACCCTAGAGAAAGGAAAACCAACATTTAAGGAAGAATGGACGTTAAGAGCGCTAACATGTTGTTCGAGTTAAAGAGCGTTGTTCGTGTGGATACTGATAGAGAGAGTAGATCTACATTGTTAGCTCTTGAGATTCAAACTCTTGTAAAGAATGCATGTGAAGCACAAGAAAAAAAGTAAATGTTCTTCCCACCTTAAACGATTTTGTTCAGTCCACATCAAGATAGGAAATTTAAAATTTTAATCTTC